TTTTTTTGTTTTTATTTTTTTTTTTGTGAAGAGGCAAACAAAAGAGAGGAAAAAAAGAGAGACGAAAGACAGTATTTGGCATTGGAATTGGTTGGGTTTGGGTGTTTGGTTTGGGCAATGTTTGTTTCATCGGCATGTATTGGTGTCTAAAAATGCATCATTGTTGTCGTAAAAGGATAATGATTTTGATGCTGCTAAATACAAAAATTTACCAGAAGTTTGTTTGACAAATTTTTTGTCCTACTTTTTCTTCTTCTTTTTTTTTTTCAAATTTCTTAAAAGCATTTGTTGTATAGTTCTTCAACATAGTGTCCCGTCGCTTTTTTGACCTATCAAACGTCTTTTCTGTGAGTGTTTGCTGATCATCAAAATGAAACAAAAGAACAGGAAGTTATTTTCCAATAGTTGGTGTAAAACTAAAGGAAAAAAAGCAGCAGCAGCAGCAGAATGAGACGGGAATATATCCCAAGAATAAAAATATTTTATGTTGTTTAATGTTAATATTTGTTGCGTTTTTTTTTTTTTCTCTGTAATCGATAAGAAATTGTTGAATGATTGAGGAGGAGACATGGCAACGAAAAAAAAAAGGAAAGTTTTTGCCAAAGATTTGGTATGCTGTTGTTTGGTATATGTGTTTCCCTTCCTCAAAAAAGAACAGTTTATCAGAATTATTGTAGCAAATAAATGATTTTTTTTCTTTGGTATAATATGACAAACAAAATATTTTTCGCAATATTTGTAGTATATCAGAGAGAGGTGTAATGTTATTTGAAGATCAAAAAATAGAAAAATGAAGGAAAATCTTATGGTTGTCGAATGACGTCTGCTGCTGTTGTTGCTGTTGCTGCTCTCAAATCTGTTGTTGCTTTATTGCAAAAAGAGGCATAACATCACTGATAGTTTATCATCAGTCATCTGGTCAGAAAAAAAAAAAGCTTTTACTAGCAACTTATTATAGTTGTCAAAATATTGTTGCTGAAAAAGAAGTTTTTTCTTCTTCAGTTTATTCTTCTTTTGTCTTTTTCACTTCAACTGCCTTAATTTTTTTTTTTGATATTATATTGCTTCTGAAGCACACATGGACACAGACAGAAGGTTGTTTTGATGACATTCAATACTAAAAGGTTTTTATAGGTCTTCCGTTTTTTTTTCGCTGATACTATTGGTGAGCATTGATATACGTGCAAAAAAAATTTTCATAGCAAAATAATCAGTGAGATGAAAGTGCAGTTACGGGATAAATTTGGTGGGTAAATTGTTGTTTTTGGACTTATTTGAATGTCCAAATTTTTTTTTCTTTATGTCGGTAGCTTAAATATCGGCGGTTTTTTTTTTTGTCTTTTTTTTTTTTGGATTACTAGCATTGCTGTGGTGAAGCAGAAAACTTTGGTAATTATTAATGTAGAAAAAGTGACCGGCAAAACTGTTTACAGTCTAAGATTTTATGGACCAAGTTCTACTTGATTAGCCTTCAATGGCAACAGTTAATGCACCATTAACAGTTGATTGTATTTTGTAGTAAATGTGCCCTGTAGACTGAACCAATTTGATTTCTTTTTTATTGCTTATAGATCTGTCTAATTCACTTAGTTGAGTCTTAAAATATTCAGAGAAATATACTGCTACTGGAGTTAAAATAGGAGACATTTGATTT